GTGTGTGTGGGGGCGAGTGTATTTTATGTGTGCAGGGGGAACTGGAGGGGCAGAGTGTATAATTTTATGTGTGTGTGTGTGGGGGCGAGTGTATTTTATGTGTGCAGGGGGAACTGGAGGGGCAGAGTGTATAATTTTATGTGTGTGTGTGTGGGGGCGAGTGTATTTTATGTGTGCAGGGGGAACTGGAGGGGCAGAGTGTATAATTTTATGTGTGTGTGTGTGGGGGCGAGTGTATTTTATGTGTGCAGGGGGAACTGGAGGGGCAGAGTGTATAATTTTATGTGTGTGTGTGTGGGGGCGAGTGTATTTTATGTGTGCAGGGGGAACTGGAGGGGCAGAGTGTATAATTTTATGTGTGTGTGTGTGGGGGCGAGTGTATTTTATGTGTGCAGGGGGAACTGGAGGGGCAGAGTGTATAATTTTATGTGTGTGTGTGTGGGGGCGAGTGTATTTTATGTGTGCAGGGGGAACTGGAGGGGCAGAGTGTATAATTTTATGTGTGTGTGTGTGGGGGCGAGTGTATTTTATGTGTGCAGGGGGAACTGGAGGGGCAGAGTGTATAATTTTATGTGTGTGTGTGTGGGGGCGAGTGTATTTTATGTGTGCAGGGGGAACTGGAGGGGCAGAGTGTATAATTTTATGTGTGTGTGTGTGGGGGCGAGTGTATTTTATGTGTGCAGGGGGAACTGGAGGGGCAGAGTGTATAATTTTATGTGTGTGTGTGTGGGGGCGAGTGTATTTTATGTGTGCAGGGGGAACTGGAGGGGCAGAGTGTATAATTTTATGTGTGTGTGTGTGGGGGCGAGTGTATTTTATGTGTGCAGGGGGAACTGGAGGGGCAGAGTGTATAATTTTATGTGTGTGTGTGTGGGGGCGAGTGTATTTTATGTGTGCAGGGGGAACTGGAGGGGCAGAGTGTATAATTTTATGTGTGTGTGTGTGGGGGCGAGTGTATTTTATGTGTGCAGGGGGAACTGGAGGGGCAGAGTGTATAATTTTATGTGTGTGTGTGTGGGGGCGAGTGTATTTTATGTGTGCAGGGGGAACTGGAGGGGCAGAGTGTATAATTTTATGTGTGTGTGTGTGGGGGCGAGTGTATTTTATGTGTGCAGGGGGAACTGGAGGGGCAGAGTGTATAATTTTATGTGTGTGTGTGTGGGGGCGAGTGTATTTTATGTGTGCAGGGGGAACTGGAGGGGCAGAGTGTATAATTTTATGTGTGTGTGTGTGGGGGCGAGTGTATTTTATGTGTGCAGGGGGAACTGGAGGGGCAGAGTGTATAATTTTATGTGTGTGTGTGTGGGGGCGAGTGTATTTTATGTGTGCAGGGGGAACTGGAGGGGCAGAGTGTATAATTTTATGTGTGTGTGTGTGGGGGCGAGTGTATTTTATGTGTGCAGGGGGAACTGGAGGGGCAGAGTGTATAATTTTATGTGTGTGTGTGTGGGGGCGAGTGTATTTTATGTGTGCAGGGGGAACTGGAGGGGCAGAGTGTATAATTTTATGTGTGTGTGTGTGGGGGCGAGTGTATTTTATGTGTGCAGGGGGAACTGGAGGGGCAGAGTGTATAATTTTATGTGTGTGTGTGTGGGGGCGAGTGTATTTTATGTGTGCAGGGGGAACTGGAGGGGCAGAGTGTATAATTTTATGTGTGTGTGTGTGGGGGCGAGTGTATTTTATGTGTGCAGGGGGAACTGGAGGGGCAGAGTGTATAATTTTATGTGTGTGTGTGTGGGGGCGAGTGTATTTTATGTGTGCAGGGGGAACTGGAGGGGCAGAGTGTATAATTTTATGTGTGTGTGTGTGGGGGCGAGTGTATTTTATGTGTGCAGGGGGAACTGGAGGGGCAGAGTGTATAATTTTATGTGTGTGTGTGTGGGGGCGAGTGTATTTTATGTGTGCAGGGGGAACTGGAGGGGCAGAGTGTATAATTTTATGTGTGTGTGTGTGGGGGCGAGTGTATTTTATGTGTGCAGGGGGAACTGGAGGGGCAGAGTGTATAATTTTATGTGTGTGTGTGTGGGGGGGAGTGTATTTTATGTGTGCAGGGGGAAGAGGGGGGCAGAGTGTATTATTTTATGTGTGCAGGGGGGCAGGGAACTGGAGGGGGAGAGTGTATTATTTTATTTGTGCAGTAGGGAGACTGGAGGGGGAGAGTGTATTATTTTATTTTATGTGTGCGGGGGAGGGAACTGAAGGGGGAAAGTGTATTATTGTATGTGTGTGGTGGTGGGGGAACTGGTGGGGGAGAGTGAATTTTTTTGTGGGTGCAGGGGGGGTTCTAGAAACCATCAATCCACCAACAAGCTAGGAAGAGACATCTTACTCCAAGCTAAAGTTCTTACTGTTTGTACACGGGGTCTATAAAGACACAGAGGATGTACACCTTTTTGCTTAAGCTTAGTGCTCAAACTCCCAAAGGCAGGGCCTATACTTCAAAAGGACTCCAAAGAAGCATTTTTTTTAACATTAAGCAATCTACAAACCACTAATACAAATGATGTACATTGTCCCTTTTTGCAAAAGATATGGCTCCTATTACAAAGTAATGATCCAGATAAATTTGCTAAAGTAGTGATCTGTAATATTTCCATGTTTCACACCAATATAACTAATTAAAAGAAAGCCATTTAAATCATAGGCACATGGCCATCTGTTACATAGTATTTGAGGTTGAAGACACAGGTCCATCAAGTTCAACCTTTGTGTGTCTGTGTGTGATTGTGCATGTGTATACGAGTCCCTGTGTGATCTTGTTTTTAAGAGTGCCTGTGCCCAGTGGCGGAACTACCACCATAGCGACCCATGAGGTCGCTATGGGAACCGGGACAGGGGGGGCCCGGTCAGGAACAGAGCTAGAGTACATCTCTATCCCCCCCACAACGGACACCGAGCTCGGCCAGGACAGGTCAGCGGTGGCAGTACCGACTCCACCCTACACAGAGCCCAGCGGCAGCAGTACAAACTTCACCTGGACGCCTCGCACACAGAACCTGGCCAGGAGAGGTCAGCGGCAGTATCGACTCCACCTTCCTCCTCCGTTCCCGCACACATAGCCCATCAGCGGCACACTCCACTACCCCCCTCCCGCACACCGAGCCCGGTCAGGAAAGGTCAGCAGCAGCAGTACCATATCCACCCAGACCACCCTTCCCGGACACCAGGCCAGGAGAGGTCAGTGGCTGCAGTAACAACCACCAGCCAGTAAACTTCTCAGTTGTCAGTGTGCTTTGTGCATGATATGCTTGCATAGGCAGTTGTTCATGTATGATGTATGAATATTGTAATGCACAAAACCCTATCAGTAAGATCAGCAGATCTTCATGTACTATGTACCAGTGTCGTAACTAACACCATAGCGACCCACACAGCCTCTATGGGGCCCAGGGCAGCCCTGTCAGAAGCATCCTGAGAGCCCCGCACCAACCACCTGTGAGCGTCGCACTGACAACATGGGAGGGTCGTCCTGACCACCTGAGAGCGTTGCACTGACACCCCGAGAGCCCCATTGACTAACTGTGAGCCCTACTGAGAACCTGCACAGCCCTCCGGAGACCATGGAGACATCTGGCCTGAACCGGGAGAAAACACAGAGTATGCAGCTTTATAGTATTCCTGCATTAGTGTATAATGTATTGCTGGGATTTGTAGTCCTCCATTAGCTGGTGGAATTCTGCATTGTTGTATTGCTGGGATTTGTAGTCTCTCTACAGTTTGGAGTTGGCAGAACTACAAGGGCCACAGCTGCAACCGGGCCCTGGCGCTCCACCACTGACTCCAAACTGTGGAGAGACTACAAATCACAGCCCGGACAGGAGGAAGGGGGCCCTAGTGAATGCCGACACTTTCATAAAAATGCCCACCAAAATCCTCAGCACCAGGCCCGTGATGTTTTTAATTCAGCCCCACCTGCTAGGCAGCCGCAGTGTAGCAAACCTGCGGTGGAGTGATCTCCTCTTCAGCCCTGATGTCAAAGTCAGCAGGAGCAGAGCTGAAGAGAAGGAAATGGTTGGTTGGGGGTAGGTTGAGGAGGAGGCGGAGCTTGGGGGCCCCATACAAAATTTTGCTATAGTGCCCTGTGATTTCTAGTTACGCCCCTGCCTGTATGTTACGGTCTCTGAGGAAGGTAACTTTTGAATGATTTAATACTCTCCGCTGATACCACTGCTTTTGGCAGCGAGTTCCAGACTTTAAGGTTGGTGGTATTCTGCATTGCTGTATAATGTGCTGAGATTTGTAGTCTCTCTACGTTTGGAGTTGGCAGAACTACCAGGGACACAGCTGCAACCGGGCCCTGTCGCTCCACCACCGACTCCAAACTGTAGAAAGGCTACAAATCACAGCCCGGACAGGCTGTGACACCTTCCCCGATATAATTAATAAACATGTTAAACAGTACTGGTGCCTAGCACAGAACCCTGGGGCACGCCATTCTCGACCCTAGACCAATTTGAAAAAGAGCCATTTATCAATACTCTCTGGACACGTTCCTATAGCCAGTTCTCTATCCATGTACACACCATATCATCTCTTCCCATAGATCTCAGCATAGATTATGTGGTGCTGTGTCAAAAGCTTTGGCAAAATCCAGATATACCACATCCTCCAGCCTCCCTCCATCCAGATCTCTACTCACCTCTTCCTAGAATGTTAGTAGGTTGGTCTGATAAGAACGGTCCTTCCTAAATCCATTCCGATTATCATTTATTATACCATTGTCACAAACAATGTAAAGTGGAAACAATTTGGTCTGCGTGTTTTACATTTATAGTAAAAACAGATTGAGCAGAATAGAGAAGTATTTTGACATTGTGTAAAAAAAACCCTCAAAAAACCTGAGAAAATATTGCAGCTTTGTCTCTTATAGAAAGCACCAACTTGATATCTGCTCTTATTACTACACAAAGACTGTTTCATCTGTTTCAAGTGTGGTATAATTGCAGTTCACTAAGAATAAAACCGTGTATTTCTGCATAGAGCTGAGTAGCTTGTGGCTTAAAACAATCTGTAACGTTAACATGATCGGTTCAGTAAAGAATGCTCAGCGGAATTCAGGTCTTAGTCTCCAAACACCAGAACCATCACTCTTTCGATGAAAAGTACATAACCTACGCAGAAGTTCCCGAAAGACACAGGACTGCTTGGGAGAAAGTTTGTTCTCAAACTCACGAAGCAGTTCTTGTGTACTGGCTTCACCTTCTCCATGAGCTTGGAATGCTATGAAGTTTCTCATGTCTGCAATAAGCTCATCATGCACTGTAAGGTCTGTTGCTGGAGCTACTGTTTCACCATCTTCTCTAGAAGGAAGCAACAGATGATTTCTTGCCTTCATTCGAGCAAGCAATGAGGAAGAGGACAATGCAGAACTAGTGGATTCCGAGGACTGGGTATCTCCACTAAAATGGGATGAAATATCAGTCTTAATTCCAGCTTGCTGCTTTGTGATCTTGGAGTCCTTGAATTACAAAGAAAACAGCTACTTTATCTAAAATATTTAAAAACATTTCTGTATACTACGATGTTGGTCACTAAAAAATAAATATGAATTTAACGAGCTCTGTATTTTTTTTTTTTTTTTTAGGAGTTGAGGAACCCAGTCAGAACTGATCAGACCATATATAAAAACATGATTGAGCTACAAATAATAGTTACTTTGTCTATTACAAACTGTGTCCATAATTCTGGGGGTTGAATTACGTATTTATTTTCTACATATTGTAACAATTGCTTACAACAGAACTCCATTACTTTTTATTTCTATGGCACCTGCTTTATTCTACAGCACCTTGCAAGGTCATTAGTCAGCTCACCTCCTGCCAGACCGCAATGGAGTCAGTTTGCCAGTGCAAAAGGAATTAATTCAGCTGAAAGTATTGTGGACCGGTCTAGAAAGGTGGGTTGTTCACATCAGAACTGCTTCTTTTCCTATACAATTGTATGGGGAAGCAAAAGCAGGTTGAAGCAGGTCTACTGCAAGGCAAATACACCTGCTATGAATTCCTAATGACCTCAGATGTGTCTTAGACTGACTAATAGCATTAACATTTGACCAAAGACATTCAACACAGGTTCCAATTGTGTCATGTCACAGAAGGCATCAACATTCTTTCTTCCATAAAATATTTTTACCTTGCATTTGTCCTGAGGGATCTTATTTTCTGATGTAGCAGGTCGGAGCAAGAGTGGGTTCTTTTTCTGTCCAAACCTTATAAGAAAGAACAAAAAAACAAAAACTAGCAGGTAAGCAATAAAATGTTTAGGATGATGAGAAAAAAGTAACCTCAAAAATATAAACTCTTGAGCTGATTTTGAGTAAAGTCACAAACGCATCAAAAAAGTCTTGCCTTACAGCACAACACATGCTTTGCAAACTGCACTATTAAAAGGTTTTCAGATCTGAGGGTGAATACATGCACCTGTAAAGTACAAAATGTTCACCCCTCAGCCTTAGCTTTTTGATTGGAAAAGTTAATTTTCTGTAAGTTAGCAGACCTATCAAAATTAAATGTATGCTGACAGGAGAAGCAATTTGTCGCACACACAGTAGATTATTGGCACATTGATTCCTAAACGCCCTAAACTCTCCAAATATATACCTGGATATGGGCACTATAAAAATAAACAGATAGTTACTTTACTCCACGGTAAAAAAAAAAAAGAAGAGGTTACCTTTGTTTTGCAACAATGTTTAATTTTAACATACAAGTAAAAGCGAATCTATATTGTCTTAGGAGTCCTCACCTTTTCACAATAACAAACTAGAACCATTCCATAGAAATTAAAATCAGAGGGCTCCATCTATAGGCTGTTTCAAGAAGGTGCAATCCAGGATCACAGCAAACTTTTTTTATTGAGATGACAATGGGAAACATGCTTTACCATACTGTGGATGGAATTTACTGCTAACTTTAAAAATTCAAAATAAAAATTCTCACCTAGTTTTAAGAGGGACACCACTTGTCCCAGTCCATGTTGGAATTCCAGAGGAGGCTGCGTGACAACGTTGACGTGACACTTTTAAGACACGTAGGGCTTCTTGGGCCACTCTACTTGCTTCTTGTTCAACCAGCACATAGTCGGGATTTGAGGCATCCATAATAACATCATGCTTCATGACACTATGAACACCTGGAGAAAATAATATTGTACAGATTAAAGTAGATCTGAACTAAGAAAGTGAATATTTAATAGACAACATCTAGAAATGGCAATTGTGCATAAGCAGCACCCTGAAAGATTTATCTTTTGCCTAGTATTCCTCCTAAAACAATGAAGTGTACTTCCTTCGCCTAGGCACTGCTGTGGCCTTAAAAGGCCTGATGTACAGGAGTTTTCCTGCTTTCTACTTAATTTATTCTGTAGATCTGTCATTTCTGCACCTCTGCTGCTTCTTCGTCATCCCCCCCAACATTTATCAAGTGGGCAGCTCTGATATAGGGAAGCAAAGACCTGCCTTCCTATAGGAAGATGACTTTCTACATGCATAGGCACCATCGCGAACAAGGCATGGCAAGTAATGGAAAATTATCAGCTGTAGGTAGCCTATACCTGTTACTAGTCTTTTGCCTTCCTTTAATGGGACAGCTTTCTCCGTTCAGGTTAAGAACGTGTTACTATACAAACTGCAGGCATTTAGCCTATGCGCAATTGAAGGATTCAACAAAAGTATTGTTTTCCCATTGTAGGAACAGGAAACTACATCACTAAAAATTTGCTACTGCTCCTTGCCTAATTATATTAAGAGCATAAGGATTTATTGCACTTTTGCTTTATTTTTTAAATTAGCAATGCTCTATCAGAATGCAGTTATTCTACCGCAAATATGTATGTGAAAAATGTTAGTTCAGTGTGCAAATATTGCTTTTTTATTTTGATCTAGGAACAAAAACGTTAAAGTTGCATGCAATGTTACTACTTTATCTAGAAAGGAAAGGCATCACCTACCGGACTTTTTAAACAATTTTTCCAAAACATATTCATCGCTTGACTTGTGGTTTTCCTGCTGCTCTTTATTCTCTGCTTTCTTGAATGGTTTCTGCTTCAGAAGATGTGAAATCCTCTCTCCATTAGAGTTGCCATCTTTCAGTCTTTTCCCTTTAACCTGGTGTTTCGTCTTGGCTTTGTGCTTTCGGTGACTGTTTTCTGGGGCTAATGACAAACTTTGTACTTTGACGTCATGTGTATCCTCACTAAGATCTGTTTGTAAAGCAGGGTTTTTCTGTATGCCATCTTGTGGAGAGCCCTCTGAGCTAATGGTAGATGAAGACTTGCATGGCACAGGGTTGAGGTTTTTAACAGTGTTAGAAAAGTTCCCTTTATTAACATTATTTAGGTCTCTTCTTGAATGTTTCTTAGGAGGTCTTGGAAGTTTCACATCAGAGCCAGTTCCTTAAAAAGGCAAAACACTTGTATAACTCTACTTATATAAGCAACCAACACACAAACATAAAGGTCCTGCCTGCACTTAATTTATTCTATAACCAAAAGACAAAGTCTTATAGCTGCTGACTGAATGACAACAGACTGCAGAAATCAGAAATGAAAAGCTCAGATAGGCACAGATTTAAAGTGGTTCTAAAGCCTCCGGTTTTTGTGCCTATATCTACTGCTAGCAAGCAGTAGATATAGGCAAAAAGTTTTTTTTTAAAAAAACGCTTTAACAGTGGTTTAAACATACCTAGTTATCGCTGCACGCTCACGAGCCGAGAATCCGGAACTGCTCGTGCAGCCGCAAAGGATCTTGGGCGGGCGCATGCTCAGTTCGGATTCTCGGCCGGGAGACGAGCAGAGACGCAAGGTAAGTCTATGGACGCGTGCACCCGCATGCAGACACTGCTGGATCAGAAGTGCCTGCAAGCAGAGAGGAGTCAGTGCTGGATCGGAGAGCCACCGCACCGCTGGAGGGACAAATGAAAACATGAGGAAAGATCGGATTAAGAGATACTTAATGCACTGAACAAGTGCCATCCAGCTGGCAGTCTGTAGACATTAGTCTCGCAGCCCAAGATGATTTCTAAATAAATAATAAATGTTTTGTAAATTATTTTTACATGAGATGTTAACTAAAAAGAGCAATGTTATGTTTTTTGTTGTTTCCGTTGTCCGTTTTAAACCAAACTGTTGTATTGTAATACATTTTCTTGTTTTGGAATCACAGACAATTTCCTGGAGTCTGTATGTCACCAAAGACTAAAGTAGAAACTACTTTGAAGTAATAAACCAAACTATGTATCAAGTATCCTAAAGCTGGCCATACACCAGTCTTTTTCTTGTTGAATCTAGAGAAAAAACCCCCCAAAAAACGCTCAATTAGCATGGATGGAGGAATCCAGTGGATGGGGGACAGCTGACTAGCTGTAGTCACTGGTTGGACAACAGTTTTTGGAGTGGCTACTTCGACAAAAGTCAATTGAAAAATGTACTTTTGTCGAACAGGGGGACCCAGCATAAGGGTGCTAAACAGGCTTCAGAATTGCAATGCAGCACTGTGCAGGCATGGTCAAGGGGTAGACTGTTCCATAACTTTAGGGTATTTACAAGTTTAAACCTCACATCTAAACGTGAGCATTTTTGCGTGCGATTTTGTTTAGCGTGTTTTGCGCATTTTTGCATGTTATTGCACATTTTTACGCACATTAGACACACGTGCATGAAGATGCGTGTCTTAGATGGCAGACTGAAAGCAGTCCTTGCAGTCAATGGACAAATGCGCAAAACGCAATGCACAGACATGTTTCCAGGCATTTCCATTGAAGTCTAAGAGGGCCAAACGTGCTGTAAACTGCCTGAAAGAAGCTCATGTACTTTTTTCCAGTGATAAGCGTTTTACAGCTTGTGACAAAATGCTCAGGTGTAAACAGGGGCCAATGAAGTTAATGGGATATCATGTGTTTATAGGTTGGACTCGATGGACTTGTGTCTTTTTTCAACCTAACTATGTAACTTGTTGCGCAACAAATTACCTAGGTGTGAATGGGGGCTAATTGTTTGCTTGTTGTAACTAAAACAAATAATGTCATCAAGCTTTATTAACACCATCTGATATTAATACATTTTTCAACTGAGGGTTAATTAACTTGAACTTTAAACTGCCAAGGTTTGCGTGAACCAAAAATGAGGAGGCCTTAAATACACATTCTCTGTCTCAATAAGAACATACATGACAGAAAGAAATCGCCTCAGGACCAGGACATCGCTTCTCTTTCACATCTCACTTAACAGAGATCTTAACATTAACTCAGACATATTAACAGAGATCGGACATAGCACAATAAATGAAAAGTATTAAAGTAGCCTTTCAGTCTTTATGTGGCAAAAAAAAAAAACTGAATAGATATATTCTAATTCAAGGGTACCTGCGAAAAGTGCACTGGTCTCGGTTCCTTGACCTGCATCTGGACTGCTCAATGTGAACAATTCATACAGGTCATTAGATTTGAAGAAGCGCCTCTGCTTTGGGTCCTTCAAAACTCTGTTAGTCAAGAACTGCTTAAAGATTTGCCTAGAAACATAAGACATACAACAGTCACTAGAAAATTCAGTTAGGATTACAAATCTGCAATGTCAAAAAATTAAGGCTATGCACATAGCTAATGGTAAACTTAGCAACACCACTCAATGGGATCCAAAACCATATAATGTTAGTAGGTTATTACCACTGTATAAATCACTGGTAAATACAAATCTAGAATATGAGGTACAGCTGGGAGCACAACATAAGTGTTTAAAGAGTTAAAAAAAATGACAACCAAATAAACAAAAGGAGTGGAAAAGGAGGAATTTTTGTACACAGTAAAATCCTTTCCTTTAGTAGTTCATCAAGAAACATGGCCATTCAATCATTTATGTTTCAAAAAGAGAGGAGGGACCAGTATCCCCCAATTAACTAATGAAGAAAACTATTTTTATGGCCGAAGGAGGTGAGGGGGCAGAAAAATTACACTAATGCCTCTGTATATGAGAGCCGCAACCCTCATAGCTGCAGTGGGACAGAAGCGCAGCACTAGCTGTACTATGCAGCATATACAAAAGTATGTCTTGCATAGTACAAGACAGTAATCTGCACAATTAGTCCCTCTGAGCGGAGGTAACTTTTTTTGCACTTGGGAAATTCTAAAAATGACTTGGCTGGAGTTCTGCTTTAAATCTGCTTGCCAAATAATCCACCCCCGAAATATGAACTGCTGAAAGAGCTGGAACCCAGCCTTCTGCCAACTGAAAAAGATATGTTAAACTTCCCGAGCCATCGCAATGCTTCTAATGTCACCCTGGTGGTTGAACTATGCCATGGCACTGTTGGATTGTATTCCGAGTGCCAATTTCTAGCAGGACCACAGATTTTGCACCAAAAGGATGTCCAGGACACATCCACAAAAGGATGTGGCTCAGGTCTATAGTCAGAATCATCTAACAGAAAGGACTTCCCCAAAAATTAGCACTGGTGACTGGAGCTGTCCAACTGCAAGTTGCATTCAGCTCACACAAAGTAAGGTTGGCTGTAGGGCTCCATCTGCGCGAACACCGGCACTCCTCCTAGCATCTGACATGTTGCCCAGCAGATTTCTGGTAGTACAGGGACGAATTTGCACAGTAGCACTGCGTTTAAGGCACCAAGTGCACAGAAATCCCTCGAGGGTGCTTGCTGAAAGGACAAAGGCATCATTGGTGCAGGGGCCAACCTTGACCATAGAGGTACTTTAAACCACTATATTCAGTTGGTCTCAGAAAGGAACAGAGTATATGCAAAACAGGTAATGAAGGTGTGCCCTGGGCTAAACAACAACCAGGCAGTAACCTTTGCATTAAAGAGACACTAGGTTAAGAGGCTGTACAACTCACTGTGGCAAACAGCAACTGTTGCCCAGAGTTTTGAGGATAGCCTGGGTCTCCGTGGGGAAAGGCGATCTGAGACGTTCAATAGAGGAGTATAGATCTCTCAAAGGAATGGGTGGCAGGCCCACCTACTGCTGTGTCATACGCTATGAAGCCTTATATAACATTCAGATGGGTTTTATATTATTAACAATGATTTGTATAATAAAGGGTGCAGTATTGATATACCTGTGATATATCTTTTCTTCTATAGATCCTGCAGTTAGCAGCCTATATACAGTAACCTCTTTTTTTTGGCCGATTCTCCATGCCCTCTCACGAGCCTGCAACATAAAATTAAAAAAAATAAAATAAAAAAAATAAATATATATTAATGCAAATTCAACTATAATGCTTAGATAAATAAAAGGTAGTACAGTTGAGTAAAATGTTTTACAGACTAGAATTAAAGGTTAAGTTGTCCTTTAAGTGATTGCAGCACACTTGCCCACACACATTGTGCGGTCTTCCTTGCATAGCAGAATTTTTTTTAAAGACAACAACCAGCTGCAGCCCCATTAATTTATGGTTATGAGCTGTACTGTATGGTGGCCACCATGAGCATGGTCCATACATCAGAATAAAGGGGGCCACAACGCAGATGGTAGGAAGATGACCCAACAGGAGCCTTTTTTTTTTTGCAAAGCCTGTGCGGCACCAGGCAGGTCTGCACAGTGAAGATCGGGGGGTGGAGAGTAATTATTTTACCAAATGGACCGTGGGTTTACGAAAAGTAAAGTTGTCCTTTACCACAAAAGCTATACAGGGAAAGCCAAGTAAAATTATGGTAGCAACTAAAACATAGTCTTTATTAACTTATGAAATATTATGTACCATTTACAAGTCTTCTATTCCGGTTTTGAATTTAGCTTACCTGGAGGTCAGTGCTGGGGTTCCAATCAGGATCGTAGATAATGACTCTGTTGGCTCCAGTGAGATTAACACCTAGACCCCCAACTCTGGTTGTAAGAAGGAAGACAAAGATCGAAGTGTCCTGTAACACATACAATCAGGCTGACAACAACCAAACAGCAAGTACTAATGTGCATTCATTCTCTTAATTTCAGCGTGCAAGTAGTATACTGCTAAAAGCTACTTTTTTGCGTTCTTCATCTTGAATTCCAGTAGAAATACAGCAGTCATAAGTTTACCTACTACTGACAGAATATACAAAATGCCAATTTTGATGTACCATCACCCATTTACAATACACCAAAACAGCATCTAAAAAAAGTCACAGAACTGGAACAAAATCAGTTAGAAACCAAAATTGAAAGTTATGGTCATAAGCATAAATGCCATGTCTGGGGAGGAGTCAACAAGGCCTATGGGGACAAGCATACCATTCGTGCTGTAAATCAGAGGTGGATCACTGATGTTTTTGATGGCAAGTGCAACATATCAGAAAATATTGGAGAAAAATGTGCATTCATCAGTCCAAAAGCTGTACATAGAACACACTTGGGCTTTCTAAAATGACAATGGGTCACTTTGTGGAGATTTCAAACATGCAGTGCGTATGCTAGAATACCAAAAAAGTTACAGGACCTGGAGGCTTTTTGCCATGGCAGCATTACCACATATGAAACAATTATCGCAAAAGACTGCAAATTATCATTGTTGCTAAAAAGAGTAATGCACGATATAAAAAACGAACGTTATACAAACTTTTAAAAAAGCACCATATACATTTTCTTTATTAATTTGGGTTGTCTAACGATGGTGCGGTTCTATAACACCTGTTTAATTTCAATAAGATTAAAAATAAAACAAATGTTTTGGTTCTGGCCACTCACAATTTCTTAAAAAATGGTCCACAAATCGGCCAAGGGTATGTAAATTTATGAGAACAACTATACAAGGGAACTGAACAGAATATTTTACACAGTGCAGTAAACTAACCAATAAAACCAACAGTCCTTTGGAGGTGTTGGCTATGGTAGCTGAAAGGGTTGACAGAATAACAAAAGAGACCCATGTTAAAACAATTTCTTCCTAGGGGGTTATTCCGAGTTAACTTACAGTGTGAATGAAGAGAAAGTTAGCAGGTGCAGTGAAGAAGCTGAAAATACATAGTGAGAGGAAGAAAAATGGGAGGAAGAAGAGGCAAGAGTATATTTCAGTACCTCATTATACTTTGTGATTAGTGGTTGACGAGAGGCAATAGTTGTGGTCCCATCCATCTTGAGATAGGAATAACCCATACTCATGAGAAAGACCTCCAGGATTTGCAACATCTAAAAGTAGTTTGACAAAAACATTTTTTATTTCATATTATGTCAATGACAATTACAAATGAAAAAAACCTAATATCTTAAAAGCACAGATATTCTTTCTAGATGGATAAACTTAAAACTAGGGATGCACAGATACCGTTTTTCTTTGGTATTGGAGTACCAATATTTTTTTTCGGTACTCGCCGATAACCGAATACCGGCATCCCGGGGTACAGTGTGTCCGGCTAATCAGGAAGCCAGTGTTCCATCGAAAGAACATTGGCTTCACGCTCCCTCGCGACACTGTGAGGCAGCCTGGCTTCCTGACGAAAGTTTGGACAGACAGAGAGCAGAGTGAACAGACTTGATAACTTATATTTGCTGTGAGGTTTCTGAATCTGATCAGAAATAAGGGCCTGAAACACATTTTGAGGTGAGGGTCCTTGAAGGTCAGAATAAGATTCTGTCGTGGCTGGTGCTTGAGCATGCTTACAGTCATTTGAGTTGCTTTTCACCAATAATTGTGCTTAGACCAATTAAAAATCCATAGTGAATGCCAGGGGTTTCAGCCGCACACTGTGGAGCTATAGAAGACTCATGAGAGCGACCCTATAGTAATAGGAGTCCCTGGGTCTAGGTTACAGGTGTAGGTCCTGCTGAGGATATCAAGAAATTGTCCTAGAAACGATACTGGACCAGGTACAGGCTGAGGTCAACCACTGGAGCAGGATTGCGACTTTGTCTAAAGATTGCGTGTGTCTTTAAAAAAGACATGTTCTACTGTGTAGCGAAACAAGTTCCAACAAGGCCATGCATACTCAGAAATCCAAACAGCTGATGCTAAAAATGGGTTGCAGGCAGACAGAAGTGACCAAGTCATTGAAGGCAGGCAGTGGAACAAGACCAGAGACAGATGGATCCATGAAGAGTTACAGAAGAGCAGCAGCAGGAAGATGGTTCCTCTAGGCTGAGAGGCAGGAGAAAGGGCATAAAGCACACGCACACAACACTCCATCAGCACTCCCTCTCCCAGCCTTAATATAGTCAGACTTTGCTTCAGTAGATGTGAAGAGGCGTCCAACTTCCCAGGACACTAACATGACATGTTGGAGACAGGGGTGGTTTTGAGTTGGGGCTATACAGGGGCTGGCTTAAGATTTTTTGCTTTCTGGTGTCCCAACCTCCTGAAGGCAACAGTATAACCCAAAATGTCTAAGAATTGCTAAATTTCTGTGTCCCTCAATGAATGTTTAATTTCTCAGTTTGCATACCTTTAGGTAGCAGGTTAATGACTCCCTAATTGAACAAAAGGACCAGAATGATGGCCCAGGAACTTTAGTCTTTACAAACAAATCAACATAACAGCTCCTGTATTTTTTCTTAAATTAATCCCCACAATAAAAAGGATAAGCGCACTTCAAGACAAGTGAACTTATCCTGTTTGCCCCTTTGCTCTAATGTAAACTAAACCACCCTTCCCCCTCCACAGATGCATACTTGCCTCAATCTGACAGCTGTGGCCTCTGGTGATTGTTTACATCCAGCACCACAAGTCTCAATCTCTTGGCCGCGCCTGCACATTAGGCCGGAGATAAAAAGGGAAATGGCAGGCCTCATAAACTTGTAATGAGCAGGCATGGCCAAGATGCAAAACAATCACCAGAGGCCGCAGCCATCAGATCAAGGCAACTATGCATCTGTGAAGTGGGAAGGTGGGTTAGCCTAGGTTAGGGAAAAAAAAAATATATGAGTGCACTCATCCTTTAAAAAAATGCTCAAAGCATCCGTGTAAAAGGACATACGTTCGGGAAAATGACTGCTTTACTAACCTGCCGTGATTGAGTGAAAAGTAGAGCTTTGTGTCCTTGTCGATGCCAGATTTTCAGTAGTGCTTCTACCACTGTCAATTTTCCAGACCGCTTCCAGTAACCAAATTCTTCACCCTCTGCCAAATCCTCATCTCTTGTCCCCTTTAGAATTTTGGGGCCTCCGGTGAACAGATCTGGATGATTGCAGATCTTTCGTAAAGCAATAAGACCAGGGAAGACCTACAGTGGGTACACATATGATCATTCTTAAGAAGTTTTTTAGTTATTACAAAAGGCTGGATAAATCTCAGGAACCTGGCAGCCAATTCACAAAATTAACTCAATTAGGGCCCAGTGCCTTAAGCTTCTTCTACAGATAAGGAAGCTCCTGTCAGAAGTCCCTGTTGACTACTTCATTAGACTAACTAACCTCCTAAACGAGACATTGAATCAGAACTCCAGACATACAGCACATTACACAGAAGGAATAAGTAAACTGTTTTAACCTTCAACAGGATATTTACTCCTGTTCAGAAAGACCTGTGATTCATACTGTGATTTTCGGTTCATTTTAACTAGAGGTGCACGGAAATGAAAATTTAAAAACCAAAGCGAAACCAAAATAAAAAATGTCATTCTAACTTTTCAATTTAAAAAAAACTATTTTACATTTATTTTTTTATCAACTTTTACATTTTTTTATTTATTCATTTTTATTAAATATTTTTACTTTTAGTGGCTTCGGGGAAATATAAGGCATCTAAAAACAGACCCCTGATATTTCCCTTTTAAAATAGAAAAAGAGATTAAGGACACAGAGTCCTCAATCTTTTTCTGCAGCCCCTGTTATGAATGAATAGAAATCCTCTATGCTGAGTGTTCCTGTTCATTCATAACATGTGGATATAGTATGTTTACTATAACCTCAATCATGAATGAACAGGAAGTGATGTAGATCACTTCCCATTCATTCATAATTGAGGATATAGTAAACAAACCCTGTCCTCAATTATCTACAAACACTCAGTGATCACTGAGTGTTTGTACCCGCTCTCCATCCTGACATCTGTTACAGGAGGCTGGGTGGAGTCGGTGCGGGAGGAGAGCTCAGCCTCCTGTGAAAGCAATGCCTGTCCACGCCCCAGACCGATCTCCCGACAGGAGGCTGAGCAGTGCTGGGAGGAGAGACGCCGGCCGCTCGCAGCGCTCGGCCGCCTGTGACAGTTTCTCTCCTCCCTGCTGGGTGCTGCTCTGAGAGAAAGAACGGATGCATCGCTACTTTGGCCAGAAAATTGCACTTTTGGCATTTTGCCAAAAGTGCAATTTTCGGCCAATATGTTTCGGCAGCCGATATATTGGTGCATCCCTAATTTTAACAGCTTGCCACATCACCACTCTGCCTGTTGTCTGCTCATTGGTAAAAAATTAGCCACATAACACTGCTAATTATTTGTTTTATGTGCAAACAGTTGGCACTGAAGTTTAAAATCATGTGGTTGTGTTACACGACTAGAAGATACAAAGTTGTGCCAACACAACAATATTTTAGCGCAAGGTTAATAAAAGAATTTCAGACAAAAAAAAAAAATACACCGGACCACTACTATACTGGTGTACCTCATTACTGCTCCAACACCTATTAAAAGAGTATTCTTTGTACACAGTGTAATGTGTAGACGATTAGCTCTTTAGTCACAAAACTGAATCCTTCAATGTAACAGTCAAGCTCCATGACTGCAATACCTTTTGAATTTCACTAAACAGTAAACTCTCATCATAACTGACTTATGAAGAAGCTTAACATTATATTGTATTTAGTGTGTATAGGTAAACATAAGCAAATTACAGTAGCTACCTGCATATCTCCATTTAGTATTCCGTAGACTTCCTTGGAATCTATAAAAGTCTGGTACACCTGTCGCTGCTCATCAGTCAAACGACAGAACAACACCTATAAAAAACAAAAAACTGGCTAAAGAATTTATAAAAAAAAAACAAAACTGGCAATGACAAATAAATAGTACAGGATAAATAGTAGCAATGGTACCTAAAGAAACAGACGTGAGATCCAATAACAGACGTGCTTAGAGAATGGTTATATGAAGAGTGTTCCGGCGGTTTTGGCAGGCAGTTTCAAAATATGACATCTTCCCCACATCCCTCTGCTTTTAACATAACAAACCACTGATTTTTTTTCCCCACTCGTGACATTATTCGCTAATGTGATTCCATATAAGAAATTGTAAAGAAAAGAAAACAAACCACAGATCACCTGTTCATTTTTGTCAGGAAGCGACAGGCTCATCTTCACATCTGCTTTCATACGCCTCAGAAGATAGGGGTTTATAGTATCACGTAGCACACAGGCACATTTATATGCAGTCTTAACCTACAAAATAAAAACAGATGTTGCTTAAACTGTGGAATCAGTTTTCCTGAAACTCATTTTAGCAACAGGGGGAAATTCCTAAAACTGTAATGCAATGCATTAAAGGTGAACTCTTTTAAAAAGCAAAATATGTGAAGTGGCCAGCTCAGGGCAGATTAGAGCACTTAACCTTACAACTCTCTGCCTGAATGTCTAGACTGGCTCCATTTGCTTCTCTACTCAACTCCTATTTCATTTATGGGGAACATTTGGGTGCATCCCCAAATCAGTAAGAGAAAAGGCACTGAGGGATTAGCAGTTACATAAAGTTCAACTGTTGATATAGAGACGGCATTTGACAGATGCAGCGTTCCATGCCAGTTCTTTTTTAAATATTATATTTATTTAGAAAATATTGCACGACAGACATTAAAACAAAGTCAAATAGGCCATAGTCCAACAATTAGCAGAGTGTATAACAGATATAAATGATCAGAAACATAAGAGAAGCATATACACATGACTAGGTACCTTGTGGCAAAGCAGTTTTGTATATCAAAAGGTATACCTTATAGTGCATAATGATAACAACCCCCTCACAGACACTGAGTAGAAGATATACATGTAACAATAATGTGCTGTGCTTCAAATAATGAATAGATCAATGAATCAATAAATATAAAAGTGATAAAAACAAAATGTGTCTCACAATAAAGATATACAAATAAAGATGTTGACTCTAAAATTCCTGTTAGTAGCATTCATTGATAACCAATGCCTATATATGGTGTCCAATAGTATGCTCCTGTGCTCCAGTAAAACAGTATGCAAAAAATAGTAAATTCCCAGTGCTGTAAATGTCCCAAGTGCACCACACTCTTAATGCATCCACAGTGATAGGTGTTATGCAAAACATGTGCCCCACTTCCAAATGTCACCCCAGTGTTCACCCCTCTCAGTGGGTTGCTCACCTTAAAGTGACATTGAACCCTCAGATTTTTTTAACATAAAACAATACTGTAATGTGTGCCTTACTGTAATCCATGGTTGTTTCCCTTCTCTTTGCTGCTCTTCCTTTTAAATCTGTATCTGTTCTCATGCTGGGCAGAACTTCTGTTTTGCATCAGACTGCCTTGTCTCTGAAATGGATACATGGTGTCTGTGTGTAGGTTTGCAACCTGAGCCAGCACTACAGGAAAAGGCACTCAGCTGCAAAGGGAAGTTCTCCCCAAGCATGAGAAGATATGAGGATTTAAAAGGAAGAGCAGCAAAGAGAAGGGAAACAACCATGGATTACAGTAAGGCACACATTACAGTAATGTTTTATGTTAAAAAATCTGAGGGTTTAATGTCACTTTAAGATCAAATACCGTAGGTCTCTCTCTCATAAGTAGAAACTCCATTAATTTCTAAAGCCCATGTTCACATCTAAACGTAGTGTTGCACGTAGAAAAATGCATGTCACTGGAGAAAGTGCAGGAGGATTTTTTTTTTTCTGGCCAGATCAGCGCGGTATGTACCCATGGACTCATCAGGAAATGCGCAACACAATTATTTTACATCTTTCCCCATTAACATCCAGCGCCAAACACAACAAGCTACAACACTTTGGAAGCCGCTCTCTATTATACAGTCAACATGATAAATAGTGTTACGCTAAAATAACAAAATAAACACACATCTATTCAATCAGTGAACAGACATCTACTCAATATGTGCACTTGATCAACACTCAGAAATTGTATTAAATAAAGTGCAGTCATGTTTATTACCTCACAATTCCAAATAGGTATTGTCATATTGTGACAATAATATTACAATAAAATGTTTTGTACAGGTAAGTGTATTCAAAACCCCGGTGCTGTCACACCACAAACAATTCCAACAGGTCTATTCAGAAAAGAGTGAAGAGTTTGGAAAAGGCAGGAGAAGTGAACAATCTAGGACAACATAGCTGAACTGGGAAGTGGGCTGAATTGGAGAACTTTTCCAAATCAGCTATGTCGTCCTACATTGTTCACTTCTCCTGCCTTCTCCAAAGCCTTCACCCTTTTGTGAATAACCCTGTAAGAGGTTACTGTTACAATAATAAAATGTTTGTACCAATATAGGAGTCTTAAGTCACCCACTGAAGTTCCAGTGCGCCCGTCCAGTCAACCCACTGCACTTAAATACCTGATCATTCATTAAGATCTGCGACTACAATATTCTTTCAAATTTACCTTACACTCCTGGCTAAGACCAAACTAGACTTTAAAACTTGAAACTTCTCTACGCCATTTTGGTTTGGACATATACAGTATATACATGATCAAGAGGGACATACTCCCTAATATTTGTAATTGTTCCAACCCCCCATCTACCACATTACCTTTTCTGACAACTAGACCTCGAATACATCATAAAACATTAAGGGCTTGTTCACACTAAGTGCAGAGCAGATGCAGAGCAGAGCAGTTAAAGAACGCATCACTACTGCATCCAATGTATTCCAATGATATTTCGGGCTCTAGTTCACACCAGAACGTTCAGTTCTAGAGCATGTGGAAAAACTGCAGCATGCCCTATTTTTTCTGCTATGGAACGCACCAAAAACACATGCACACGGCCTGGAACGCACTGAAAGTCACTTTTGTTTTACAAAAAGCGGCCTGGAACGCGGCAAAACACACTTCACTGCATGAGCAGAAACTCATGCAGATCTGGTCTGCAATTGGTGTGAACAAGCCCTAAATAGGAGGAAGGAACATGGGGGCGCTGATCTGCCAGACCTCCAATTGTTGGAACCGATAAAATTGACATCTATGATACAGCTTTGATGCAAAGATGTTCCTTGATATCCTGAACTGAATCAGCACATGGCTGTGCGATACGCAAATGAGGACCATCAAAGGGTTCTTGGGGCTGGACACTGATGAATGAAGATCTGCCGAACTGTCATCTCCTGGGGCAAGCCCGACCCCCTGCTGGTATTTACTGCCCACACCTGTGTCAGCAAGGAAGCACACATGCTGGGATGGGGGCAGGGGCATATGATGGAACCTTCTTCCGGTGTGATCCTCTGCACTAACTTAGCTCACCAGCAGGAACAATGGTAACCTTAGTGACCTCTTGGACAGGACAAGTCTTTCTGGACTCTACAAATCAAGAAGAATGTGATTCGCTGAGGCCTGCTTGAGAGGAGTGTTCTGACCATAGAGAAAAACACATGGCATGTGTGACAGAGAGAATGGTGAGGCCAGCTGAAGTATCCTAACCTCAATTCCTACCCCTACTGACCCCCTCCAAATTCCCTTTACCTTAATTGTAATTAGAATGTATGTATATCCCTATTTGTAAATAAACCCAACACTTATTTAAGATTTAGTTGTTCATCAGTAATTTAAGGCACCCCAAATCAGAGCACATTCTACACCAGTCCTACGATAAAGCGGCAGTTTTCTTGCATTTGTTTCACCAGGAACACAACAAACAATGGTTGCAACCTGAACTTTACTCTTCTCTCAAACATCTAAAAGCAGCTATGTGGGCTTCTCCTTCACTGATAGGAAAACAGGACACCTGGCTTGCGTTATACTAACACCCATAGGTGTCGCGTAAGAATTAATGTCCCTTCTCACTTACTTTCATTCTGCTCCTCTTACTGCTTACTCTAACTTCTCTGCTTGATAATCCTGCAATACAATTTACATTATTGCTGCTCCTGTGGGCTCCCCCTCACCGTGAACACGCTGCTCAACCTCATGAGCACTGGAATGGAACTGAGCATTGGCATCGAGGGGGGGGTAGGTTGCACAAAAGCAGCATTAATAAAAGGAGGGCATGCTTTTTAAAAACGGTAGGCAGCAAAAAAAAAAAGTAAAAATATTAAAAAAGGTGAACTAACCCTTTAAAGACTATGTAAGTCGCCCACTAGGTCTGCAGCTAACGATTAATTTTCATAATTGATTAGTTAGATGATTATTATGTTCGATTAATCAGTTAATTGGATAAAAAAAAAAAAGGCTCCAGTGATGGACTACTAGTTTGTATTAAGATTGTAGTCCATCACGGGAGCAAGCTGGGCGCGGTGGAAGTGATAAAAAAGTGTGCATTATACAGCGTCGCAATGCAGAATACCAGCAGCTATAGAGGAATACAGCAAATCGCAGCAATAGTACATTATACTATAATGTACTATTGCTGGGATTTGTAGTCTTCTCTAGCTGCTGGTATTCTGCATTGCGCTGAATATAATGTATTATTGCTGGGCGTGTTGCGCATATATCTTAGTGGACTTTTTCAGACACACATAGATTTGCAATAGAGACGGAGGTTTTGTTTGTTTGTTGATAGAAAGCTGGGTTCATACAATGGAAGGTGCCACCTAAACAAACTAAACTGGTTTTTCACAATGGTGTAACTTGTCCTGTATTGATTTGTATCATAATGGGATGGTGATCGTAAACAGTCACATCTAGCCTGGTCAAGACTTAAATCAAATCTGGACTACTGATGGCAATTTATGGTAAAACGCTGCCACCTAGAGGTGGGAAAGTGAAATGCATTGTATTGCATTTTCCTAAAAGTGAAAGGGGCGGCGCTTCGAAGTGTGTGGCCAGTTTCTCTCAATAAAAAGCCAGTAGCTGAACGGTTGTAGCACTGCACTTCACAAGACGAGGGCTTCACAGGAGAGGGACGGTACGAGGGGGCTTTACAAGACGAGAGGACTTGCTTCAAGACCAGGACATACAAAAGGATTTAGCAGAGACTGCAACGAGAAGCCATTTTCCTAAGAACGCCTGTGCCAAGAAGTCCGGTTCATTACGGAATTTAGGAACCTGCGGCCTGAGCTAAGTACATTTTCAGTGTTTCCTCTCCTAGAAAGCATTACATGTACTAGAAAGGATAGTGTAGTGGGTGCCTGTGATAGAATGTTTGTAGCAGCCTGTCTTTTTTATGTATTTGTTTGCTTTTCCTGTAACTAAGTTTGTACACGCAGCATTTTCGCCAAGTAAAGTACTTTTAAATGCTACTGGGTC